TGATGACCCCCCCCCCCCCGCGCTGGCCTCCCACCACACCACCTTGGGCAAAACGCCCTGCTACGACGCCCCCGTACGCCCTGCAAACACCCCTCATCTTACACGACACCATGACAATGGTTTCCCCTTGGCAAAACAACCCTCCCTCAAAACAAGGTGCGTGGCGTCACCACGTCACTCACCATCGACCTGGCATACCTGCTGGAGGGGCAGAACCCGCAGGAGCTGCCAGAGGCACTCGTTGGTGCGTGCACGCACGCGCGCGCGTGTGCGTGTGTGCGTGTGCGCGCGTGTGTGTGTGCGTGTGCGTGTGTGTGTGTGTGCGCTTGCGCGTGTGGGGGTTGTGTGGCATGCTGGCAGATCCAGGGGCGGACGGCTTGGCTTGGCCCCAGCCATATGAGGGTGCAAAAGCACGTTGCGCCTGCATATCAAAGGTGGAAGAGGCAGGCAGTCGAGCATTCCCGCGTTGAGGCTGTTGATCGGAGGATCTGAACACACAGGTCTCTGCTTTGAGAGCTGGCTGTGGCCGCGGACCTGGGGCTGCGACGTGTGCGCGGCAGCGGTGGCTGCGGCCCTGCACCGCCCCTGGCGACCCTGCGTGTGCCGAGGCATGCCCCGCGCCCAACGGATCCTGCGCGATTGATTTTAAGTCATCAACCATGTCCTGCTTGTCTCCCCAGGTGCCATCCGATTTGACGGGATGGACCTCGCCACTGGGGTGCGCCTGGACACCAGCCAGGAGCTGCCGCTGCTGCCGCGCGGCTGACGCCCCCACCCACACAAAGCGGCTGTGCGGGCAAAGGCTGCGGTCGGCAGCAGCAGCTCCAGCAGCAGTGGCAGCAGCGGCAGCAGCAGCAACAACAGCAGCACCTTTCTATGCGGGGGTGTTGACGCTGCCATGGTAGCGTAAGGTCCGCGGGACACCCTGCATTGGAAGCCAAATCGTCTGCTTCAAATGAAGCGGCTGGCCACAGGCATGAGGCGACTGCCTGCCATTCGCTGGCTGCAGCAGGGTTCAGCGAGGAGATGTGTGGATCCATTACGTTGCGCAATGGACGGCCCTGCGGACCATGAGCTTTTGCATGCTCGACGCAACGCATTGGCATTTATGATACCATCTGCAAAATCACAATGGGCTTCGTGTATACTGCACTATTGTATTTCCAACCGCCCTGGACTGTCAAACTCACCCATCAGGGCCCTGATGCTGCAGCCAGCCTCTTCCATTACTCCTTGACACGTTCGTTGCAGAAAACATGGAGAGTGGGAACACGTGTAACATAGCCTGCGCCTGCTGGTGAGGCGATGACAACACGCCCTATGCACAATGCTCCCAGGGCTGCTTGAACGCCGGCAGCATTGGCCAATTGAGGAACAATGGTAGGAGTGCGGCTTCGATTATTGCGCCTTCTCATGCCAAGAGTGTGTGTGTGCATTGACGGCCACAAACGTTGGGCGTGTGGTTCATACGGGATGCGCATGGAAAGGGCCAAGTTGGTGCACTTGAGCTTCTTGCAAGGGCATGTGCTTGCTAGGCTGGGGGCCAAAAGGCAAAGGCTGCTCGATCCGCGAAATGAAATTGCGTAGTCTGATGAGGTTTGCAGGAGGAATGCCATGATCTGATGTGGGGGATGAAGTCGCTGGCGGTGTGCATGACGCCTTGCAACGGACAGCTCGCAGGCTTGCACGACATATCCATGACTTCTGCTGCTCGAGGTTAGCGGCCAGTCTTGTTGGGAACGCAACGATTGGCACCTGCACCACGAAATGGGGGTGGAGTGTGTTGGAGGGCAAGCCATCTTGGTTCACAAAGCCGCCAATCTCCACCCTTTGTGTACCGCTCGTGCGCCCGCGAGGCTTGCACACCATCTGTTGCGTCCAGATTCATTCTCCCCTTCCACACACACACACACACACACACACACACACACACACACACACACACACACACACACACTCCCTCGCACCTGCAAAGCAGATGCAGAAGACCAGGATGAACGCCAGTATGAGGGAGATGCCGCCCACCACAGCGACCTTGGTCTTGACGTTCTGGGAAGACGAAGGGTCATCAAAAGTGGAGGCAGGGCAGAGTTGACTGGGTTAACGGAGGGGCGCCCAGGAAGGAGATGCCATGATGGCGCAAGGGGGCATGCATGGCCACGATGCATGCACGGTATCAGGCATGCCAGGTGGCTCGGCGTCGAATTCATGTGAAAACCTCGTGCCGCCTGCGACAAGACACGAAGCTCCTTGGCTGTGCTGCCCTTGCGGGTGCTTGCATGAGGCTCAAGCCAAGACGCTGCTGCGCTCTGCACGCATGCGGCTTATCCTGCACGCACCCACCTGCCACCAGAATTGCTGGCGCAGCGCGCGACCCTGCGGAACCAGTGCGAGCGAGAACGCGACGGCGCATGTGTCAAACGAAACATTGTTCAATATGACAGAGGTGCTTGCCCAACCCAAGGAATTGTGTTTACTTCACTTCAGACCGACCAAAGCAGCCAAGGAATCGCTCGGCCCGCCCGGGACCTGGCTGAGCGCCGGCAACTGGCACCACTGTCGCATCCGCCCTTGCTGAGCGGACCGCGCATAGCGACGCCCACCTGTTTGCGGAACTGATTGGCCGACGCCTCCAGCTCCTCCGCCGCCTCCACCAGCAGCTGGATGCGCTCACCACGCAGCACCACCTGGGGCGAGGGCATCCACGGGGCGCGGCTCGTGTGATGTAGACTGATGAGACGGTCTATCGTGTCACTGATGAAACCGCCGCAGCGCAAGACACCCACAAATTTTGCCCCAACAGTGCAGTCATTATACGCGTCTCGCATGCCCCCCGCCTCCCGCCTGCGCCATGTTGGATGCGGCCTGACCCCTTCCCTGCCCATGACTGCATCCGTCAATTTGCGCACTCCAAGCCCCACCTCGGCGGGCACACGCACGCACACGCACGCACGCATGCACACGCACGCACGTACGCACGCACACACACACACAAACACATGTGCGCGTGCACATGCCACACGTGCTCGTACACGCCCCACCTTGTCGATGTTCTCTACCATCACAGACTGTGGGGGGATCATAGGGAACGAAGCAGGGGTGAGGCGAGTGGATGGCCAGAGATGTTACACAGGCGCGGTTCGGCAACATGATATGCATTGGCCTTGCTGGGTTGGGCGGGGGCGTTTCTGTATCTGCCATCGCCAAACTGACATCTGCCAAGCGTCGCGCCACAGCTGCACGGTACTGCTGCCCATAGAGGCGCCGCGTGCTTTCGCGCGGCCGCCTCAAACTCACCCGCCCCACCAGAGGTGCTGCAGCACCCCCCACCCCTGCTGCACCCCTGCCGTGCCCCAGGGACCCCTGAGGCCCACCTTCACGTCCTCCACCTTGCGCTGCACAGCCGCCACCCTGTTGATGGCCTCGGGGTTGGCGTTCAGGAAGTCCTGGAGACATCGTTGCGGGGGAGGTTGTGATGTTGGGCATTGAGGTTTGGCGGGCGCTTGCGTGCATGCGTACATGAGCTGGCGCACGTGCGCGCGCGTGAATGTGTGTGTGTGTGTGTGTGTGTGCGCGCGCGCACGCGCGTGTGACGGTGTGTGTGTGTGTGTGTATGTGTCAGCGCATTTGTGTGTGTGTGTGTGTGTGTGTGTGTGTGCGTGCGCGCGCGCGCATGCATTCTGGGCGTTGCAGGGCAGCTGCTGGGACGAGCATGCTTGCAACACCGCAAGCACTCCGCGCGCTGGTTGCTCGCGTCCACACCCCGACGCCCGACTCAAACAGAGCCCTGCTGCGCGGCGATGCCCGCGCACGCGTGGCAGTGTCAGCGCCCACCATTTGCTCCTTGAGCCGGGGGCCAAAGCTGCGGTTGAAGCTGTGAGGACCAGCCCGCTGCGCCCTGCGCGCAAAGTCGCCCTCCCACGCCTCTGCTATGCGCTCCAGGTAGGCGTATGGGACCTGGGGGTTCGGGTTCAGAGGCGTGGTTGGTTTGAGCGCACACGTCTTGGGGAGCAGGTGATGTCCTTTTGTTGGATGCAGTGGCAGCCTTGCTACCAAACAAGAAAGCCTGAGCTTGTGCGCTCGAGGGTTTGCTGCTCGGTGCGCAAACGTTGGCGTGCCTCGTCCAGCGTGCTGGGCGGCGGGGTATGCGCCCCAGGGCAATGCACCTGCGTTTGAGTGGCTGCAGGCATCCAAGCTCTGCTACAGCATGCGCGCTGTGAAGAATGCCCTACGGACCCCATCTGTTGCACGTTGCGCCACGCCCGCGCACGCAACGGCACGCGCCTGCCGGCCGAACGCCTCGTCAGCGACTGCCAGGTACAGCCACTCGGTGGTCTTGTAGAAGTTGAAGGTGTGCCTGGGCAGCAGGGCAGGGAGAATTTGAAACCAATTGCGTTCTGTCGTCCAGCGCGGCGCCGTGGCAGGCCAGGGCACGGCGGGGCATGTGCTGATATGACACAGGCAGGGCAGGCCAGTGCACACGGGCCAAACCAACGTTCAACTCGTGCGGTGCGCACTTGTCGCACGCAATCGTGAGCCTAGAGTCGCCCGATTTGCTCACGTGCTGCGCACACGGTTTAGGATTGGGTGTGTGAGTGCCAGGCGGCACAAACGGGTGGGGCGAGCGGCGGGTCAAACGCGGGCATAGCGCTGCTGCGCGTCTCCCTGCAATGGCTTTCACCTGCATGCACTCCGTGGCAACCTGGCTGAAATTGCCCTTGGCGCCATAATGTTCCGCTAGACATGTTCCATCCGACCTCGCCACGAAAGCGTAGATCAAACCCATCGCGCCGAATGAGTTGATTGGATCGAGCACAACGTGAAGTTGCGCACGTGAGGCCAGCTGTTTCTTACAAAAGGGGCACTACCCTATGCATCTCGGATGGCACCGAGGCATTTGCTTTTGTTTGCTGCGGTGCGCACCTGCCGCGCGACTCGGCGGCTCATCAGCAGCTGCAACGCAGGTCGGACGGCTGCCAGCGCCTTCGTGCGTGGTGTTGCAAGGATGCTAACCTGGCAAACTGATCAGAACGGAATGTGTTTACTGGTAAGGCGCAAGCGAGACCTGCATGTGTGGGATGGCAGCCGGCGTATGGGTCCGAGTGATGAATCCCCTTCTCAGCCCTTGCCCTGCTGCCCTGTGATCCCGCAACGCGTGGCTGCCTTGACGCTCTCTTTGATGTGGACACATCAATACGACTGTCCCTTGATGCTGGTTGCCGCCATGCACAGAGCGCTTCCTACAGCTGCCAGGTGTGCGCGACGCCGCCTTAGAACCAAACACAAAAAGGTCGCCTTCAATCCGCGCATGCACCAGACCACAAACCCACACGGACGTTCGAACCGAGGGTTGCACGTTTCGGTAGCAAGCACGCACGCCTGCTCAGACTGCATTTTATCACATCTTCAAAAGCAACTCAAGTTTTTGCCTATGCCTTCGGCACCAAGCGGCGCGGGCGGTCCGAGCCGCGCGCCCAGGCAGTCGGGAGGGGCAAGGCAGGGTGACAGCACGTCGCGGCACCCACCACAAACGGCAAACAACAACTCAAGCAAATGATCAAGAGTAAGCAAGCCCGGGACACCCCATCACAGGCTTCAGGAAGCATCGGCGCCCCGAAACCGCGCCCCACCGATCAACCCCACCCCCGCAAGTCGTCAGCGCCCGCCCGCCAGCGCGTCAGGCCTGGGGGCTATCGCCGGCTCCTGCACCGGAGCCGGCGCCGCCGCGGCCTCCGGCGGCGGCTGCGCCTGCCGGCCCGCGGACTGCACCGCGGCGTCATTGCCCGTCGCGCCGTGGCCGAGGGGCTCGAACACGCCAGCGAGCTGTGCCGGCGTCGCGGGCGCGTCCCCGCCGCTCGCGCCGGCCTGGGCGTCTCCTGGGTCTGCGGGCGCAGGTGCCGGCGCCGGCGCCGACGCGGCGGCTTGCTGCGCGGCCTGCTGGGCAATAGCCTGCGCCAGCAGGCCATCCAGGGTCGCAGGCACAGGTGCAAGCACAGGGTTGCCCGCCGCGTCCATCGCCATCCCCGTCGGCTCCCCGTTCGCATCCACAGGTATCGTGTCGCCCCCCGCGTCCGCAGGCGCCGCCGCGGCGGAGGGGTCCGCTGCCGGCGCGGGCGGGGGTGCGTCCACTGCGTCGGGCGGCGCCTGTGGGTCAGCGACAAGGCCCGCGGCGGCGGTCGGTTGGCCGATGACGTCAGCGCCTGTATTGTCCGCGGCCTGGGCGTCCCGCAACCGCTGCTGCTCCTCCGGAGTCGCCGGCGTGTCCTCTACGCCGGCCGCGCTCGCGTCCACCCCCGGCGCCAGCGCCGACGCCGGCGCCGCCGCGGCCTTTGTCGCGTCGGCGGCGGCCGCCGGCGATGAGGGCGCCGGCTGGGTCACGCTACTCTTGGCGGCGCCGCCGCCGCCTATGCACTTGTTCGGGCCGCCGAAGCAGGCGGCGAGGAAGATTACGAGCACCAGCACCGCCACCGCGCCGCCGACGCACACCTTGGCCTTTGCGCTCTGCAAGCTGTGGACCCAGGGGGGCGGCAGAGCAGGGCGTGGGGTGTGGGTTTCGAGGGGTGGAGAAACGCCGCGCGAGCACACGCATTATTGCAGGTCACTAATAATTGAGGCGAAGCCTCATATGCTGCCACGGACTATTGAGG